AAGTGTCATTTATTGTATGCATGTAGTAGCTTTAAATACATAACAATTGTTATCAGAAATTATAGAAGCTCAGAATGTTCTCTTTAATGTCTGTGGAAACACTGGACCATTGGACAAAAGGGACATCCGGACATTCCCTGTTGCAGAAAAATCGAAAATAAAAGGAATGAAGAACAGAGAGAGAGGGAAGATGGAGTAATAAGAAGAAGTACTTATCAATAAGAACTTATGTAATATATTGTTGGTAGTGAAGAAATTGAACTGGTGGAAGAGAGAAGTTCGACTTCTTCAGAACATCAAAAGGATTAGTTAACAAACCGTACCGTGGTTTGAGTCTCAACATAGGAATACTCTCTCCGTAGTCTCAAGCTCTTACTGGTATCGAAGTCAATGGCTCTTCATTGGAGAACGATGGAGTTGAAAATAGCGCTATGGATCAGGTTGGGCTTTTAGTGGTCTCATCTCAGGATTAAAATCTGCATTTTTAATTGCGAATACATTGGATAAAACAATTACGGTGGATTAAATTAAAAAGTGGGCCAACGCATAAGTGGCGTTCACCAAGAGGACAAAATGATTTCGTTAACTTCCGAAAATGATGTCATGCAAAGTTTATATATGGCTCTACCAAAAGGGCAATGGCGTAATAAAGCGTCATGAAACATTTCCAATAATAGATTGCTGTTTTTTGAAAAAAAAGTTTCTGAAAAGTTCCTACGTGACAAATAAGCGTATAAGTATGCAAACTGGAACTCTGCTTCAATTGAGGTCGGTAAAGGGGAATCTAGCAGTATGACGTACTCCGCCGACAAACTCCTCAGGGTAACGCTCGGGTCAGCTATATGTTAACACAGAACAGCACAAAACCCTCTTCATCCTTACCGTCAACATTTTTTTGGGTCGTTGAGGACACCACTTGTTCTATTTTCTCCTTCCCTATGTTGTGTATAAGTGAAGTAGAGAAACTGCCTAAGGGGCAAGACAAACTCATCGAGATGATTCCTTCTCATCCCATTGCTTCAAAGTTGTATTGTCCAGCTGAAGACCATCAGTAAAGTGAATCAGATATGACGGAATAAAGTGATTTCGTTGATCTGCAGGATTAAACCGACTGCAAAAAGGTCACTAGACTTGGCCTGGACTGCAAAATCTATATGTGGATGGGACTTAGCGAATTGCTTGCACTGAAGGGTATGGTTTCTACGCACGGTGACGCTCCTTTCATGAACAGCTCGAAGTACCCCAAGAAATAATTTGCGAGACCTAAAACGGGTCTCTTTGCTTTTGATAGTATATCACGTGATCTTTGCTGGGATTTTCGTTGTTTCAAATCACGGGAGGTTAAAGTTAAGAACTTTGCCATGGCTTCTACAGATTTCCTTCCCCATTGAGAATGACTTTATAATGATAAGTGAAGAACGCCTGAGTGAAAGCGTGCTCGATTGCTCCACATACATTCTCCTGAAGCACACTATCTTCGGGAACCCTGCTCAGATGCTCTGTCTTAAACTAAAGCAAAGACCAGTAGAAAGCCATTGCTGTCTCATTGTCAGTTGAATGCTGCGAAAGTACAAATTGTGGGGCCAATGTTCCTAGGAAAAGTTTTCTTAGACGGCTGAGGTCTATACCTTGTTTAGGAACCTGTAAACGCAAACGAGTTTGGTGACGGGCTCTCCCAACAAAAAAGCCAGATAAAAGCACAAAAAAAGCTACTGTTTTCGTACATGGACGGGCGGAAATGCATAGGTCAGGGTTTTGGACAATACAAGTTATATAGGGGTGGGGTAAGAAATATGCCACTTCGTGGCCCTTCGCTATTCCACTTACTGATGTGTACGATTTCGTTACACCCTCCTGCAGGATAGGCGTTCCGTGGGAAGATGAATGAAGCGAACGTGCCGTAACCGAAGAAAAGAAAAAGGTAAAAGGCATCGGATCAGGGTTATCGTATAAAAACCTATATGATGAGACGAAGCACCACGCTGGCCTTAAAATAAAAAATATTGTCGTCAAACCGATTAATTTCAATGGAGAGAATCATTTTCAGGGCTGTCTTGTATATGACCACCATGGCTTTATCATCCTTACCGAATGGTATTTCTTCAGCTGATTTTCTGGATTGGCTCTACCTTCGAAAAACCTTTTTGACGGAGTTTTACAGATCTTCGTTGGAAGAAATGTTCTCATCGAACATCATTACTAATCGATTACGTGTCTATCGCTTTGGTGGAGTCCATCAGTTAATTGGCACCGTGTCCTGTGTCGGTTCTCTCGATATGAGTTGCGGTGTTATCACCTAACCTGTCCTCTGTTGTCTGCCCACTTTTCGATAGCGCCATCGCTAATGTTTTCTAGACCGATTTTGTTTTAAAATGACTTTCGAACCCATTTTGTTATCTAGTGCATATTCGGAATTGCCTAATTTAGCTTTCTTACTATTTTATTATCCGTTTGGCCGGCTTATTCCTTACTAGGTTTATGGCTGCAAGTTTGGAATAAATGATTGTTTCACTCATATACCGATATGATTTTACTATTGTTCCTAACAGTCCTCTTAGGTCTGGTTCTTCAACCTTACAACTGTGACTTTCACCAGATTTATCTCATATGAAAACAAAAGATACACTGACTGTCATTAGTTGTCAAAGCAAGGTTTAGTATAGCTCCTATTTATGTATGTATAGATGCATAGCACATTTCCATATGTCATCTCGACTCTAGAAAGGAATGCAATGTAGATGTTTTTTGGAAGGTGATCGATTGATGCCGAACTTCATCTCACAC